GGTCCCTGTGCTTTGCCAAGCTTGTTTCAAGTAGGTGCTTTAGACCACTGAGCCATCTCTCCAGCCCTCTCAATACAGAATTTTAAATAATGCTTTCAAATTCTGACTTATTTTGAGACACAATTTGAATTTTAACCCTCATTCTTGTATTTTCAATCACCTAATAGGACTCTGGTCCGGCATCTTGTTGTCTACTGACTTTCACCATCCTGTCCCCAGCATCTGCACTGACTTGTCTCCCCTTTTCCTCTTTTAGGCACAACCCCTACCCCAACTGCCCCTAGGTCTTTACCTGCTGCTGAATCATTGCAAAAAGCATCACTCCCCTGTCCCCCAAGGACAGTACTCAAGGTGCTCTTTGGAAAGCCCAGCACTCAGTTTTATGAGCCACATACCTGCCCCTCCACAATCCACCTGGAGATGGATGTCTTTCCATCGTAGCCTGGTCGGAACTGAAGTGTGGCAGAGCGAGGGCTGATGTTGGAAATGACCAGGTTAGAAGGCGCACCAGGCAGGTCTGGAGAAGGATGCAGGAAGCAAGTAGAGAGTGAAATTTCATCATGAATTATGGCAAGTATCAAACTTGTCAGCAAGGAAGCAGTTTCAACATTCTATCCTCACAAAAGGATTTGTTGTTAACCTGTGGAAGTAATAAGCAGCAGGGCTTCCCCTGGACATCAGCTAGCATGATTTTTACTCTGACAGGTCATCCATGGCTCCAGGACATCTTATGTGGCATTAAGAGACACATACCTTGTTCATCTCTGAACATCACAGGTAATTAATAGGTAGTTGGTGGATGAATTCATGTTAATTCTTGAGACTGCTGAAATGACCCCACGTGTTGGGAATTTCCCTCCCTCTCATTGTTCCCATGAGGCCCTGGAAGTCAGTATGGGGAAAGTGATGTTTCCAGGTAGCATGACAAAGCGAGGGTTCAGGTCTTGAGTCTTAGGCTTCTTGAGTCTGGTTTCTGAGGCAACCAAATGCAGGTGACAGTGCAGAACTCTTCCCATTCTGTCTGCATTTGGTTGCTTTGGCAACAAGGTGGCAGGTGGGTCCCATCATGAGGTTTCCTATGGCTTCACCATACTCATAGATAGAGAGCCTTTGGGGGTACTTCTTCCCCAAAGAGCCTATTCTGCTCAGAAATGCAACACTGGGTATTGAATGAGAGTTTATGTCATTGTGCAATGAGAAATACTCAGGAGAGAGACAGCAGGATGAAATGAAGAAGATAACATATTGCAAGCTGCTTTTAGCCTGTAGTGTACCTGAGGAGTGACTTTCTAACTTGCAATCCTGGGAGAGTCTAAAGGTTAGTCTTTTCCAGGGACAATAAAACTACTTTGGCAATCAGCTTGGTATTGGCACAGGCAGAGTCTAGGATTTTAAGGGTCCTTTCACATCTAGTTTAATGAGTTTGAAGCAGAAAATGTTTAAACCAGAGGACAAGTGACTCTCCTTTGTATTCCTCAGCTCTCTGGGCTTTTAAAAATGGCTCTTTGCTCACTAATGGATTTAAATCTCAAGCACAGCAGACAGAACACAGTTCCCCAAAAGGGATCGGGAATGCAGGATGTTTTTCCCGCTGGTACTCAGAATGCTCAGACCTGTGTAAAGACACTTTTGCGCTACTAGTGATCTGTCCTGTAAATGCAGAACAGCAGCTGTTTTGCCTCCCTTCATCCAGGCTATCAAAGGCTTATACAATCAGGTTTTCATTGCCCCTCTAGCTCCCTTTTGTGGACAGTAAGGCTGGGTGCAGAGCCTTCTGCAGGCCAACAAGCCCATGCCCTGCCTGGGGTGCACAGTGTCCAAGCCATCCTAAGAAAAACCTGGTAACTCCCATGAGATGCACTTCCAACCTTTCCCACTGTTGTGGTACACAGTCCTTCATAACAAATTAAACACTATACCATTGGTGTCACTACTGTTGTGAAAGTATTAATGCTATTTCAAATATGTGCTTTGGGAAGTAGCTTTAAACACTTTAAGTGTGTATTATGGGAACCAGATATTGTGTAACATAAATGAAAAAAAAAAAAAAAAAGATTCTCTGTTAACTGAAGACTTGAAACAATGCTGAACTGCCTTAGCCCTACATGGGTCTCCAGGAGCAGCTCTTGGCCAGCAGCAGGAATGTCACTGAGAGCTTGTCCCAAAGGAGTGTCTAGAACCTCACCCAGCTCTGTGAATCAGACCCTCAGGGTGGGCCCAGCTCTCTGCGGCAAGGCCAACCCATGAATCTGGCAGTATGAGGGCCACTTCTAGGATGGCGACCAGTGTCTACTGGGGGACAGAAAGACATAATCAAGGCACTAACTGATGGCAGAGTGACCTGGGCTCAGAGGCCTCCAGCCCATACTACAGGAGACACAGTGCCAGCAGATTCCCTTGATACTCAAGGCTGAGTGTCCCTGTTAGAGTGGCCTCAAGCCAAGAGGTAAGGGATAGTGTTCATGTGGGCTCTTGTGGTTTTTTTCACTGCATACAACTTAATTGTTTTTAGTCTCTTGAGAGCATGCATGCCACTTTCCCAGGAGACTAAACAGTTAGGATGACTGACTGGACATGGGAGAGTGCAGGGACAAAGGCTGGCTTCACAGAAGTCTTTCCAGCCTTTATGAATGAGGCAGTCTGACTTCTCAAAGCTCTGAATATGGCAAATTGACATATTTTAAGTGGTAGAAGACTCATAGCTATAATTAAGAGTGGAACCTACAGCTCCATAGTACTTTCTCCCATTCATGTACATTTGTGAACTCTGTGAAAACACATTCATTTTAAACATAAACTTTAAAATTGCAGAAGAATGAGTCAGGTAGCAATTTTCTAAAGTTGAAATGGGCAGACATTTAAGGAGATAATCTGAATTTCAAAAGGATGTGACAACAGGTGTAAGGCATACCTGCCCCAAGAAGGAAGCTTGCCATGATGGCTTATGCATGGGCATGCATACCTAGAGGAGACCAATCACCTTTTTCCTCACCAATTCTTCCTCTTCCTTCTTACTGAAAACCTCAACTCTTATGGTTCTGCAGGGTGAGCAAACCTCTGTGCTTCCTATTCTCAGTTGTAATCTGAGTGTTTCCTGAGTGTGTCCTCTTAAAGGCTTCTACCTTCCATATGGTTGCTGACCCTTTTCTCCAGTGTGTTTCCTCACAACCACACACTCATAGGAGAGACAGTAAGGAGTGTCATATGTGCTGGAAAGGGAGGGGGAAGATGGGTTAGCGTTATCTCCACACACTCAACCTGATACCCTGCTCTGTCTCAGGTACTGAGTGGGTCCTGCATGGAAATGCCACTAACGACTGTGTCACTCCCCTCTACTGGAAAAGTAAGAGCAGGGAGAGCATGCCAGCATCTTACTAACCTGGGGGTACTCCAGAGGAGATAGTGGAGGAGGTGGCCAGGCCTGCACCCGCGGCTGTCACTGCAGCCACCTCGATGGTGTAGGTGGTGAGCGATGACAGACCACGGATTTTGTATTCATGGGTCGTACTGTTGAGGGTGTGTGTGAGCCGAGAATCATTCTTCCCATATACCTCCCAGGAAATCCGATAGCCTAAAAAGATACATAAGAGTGAGTCAGGGCTTTCGCCAGGCTGAGGAGCAGGTTAGGTTGCCCTATGACCATTGTGGCAGATTTGAGAAGGTGGGGACAGGGGCCCCTCAGGGCATGAGAGGTCATGGGAGAAGCCACTGCCTGCTGAAATGGAGCTTTGAGGCAGGGCTCCTTCCTTTATGCTCTACAGAAGCCTTGCCTGGGCCCCTTCTTGTACTAAGGTGGCTTGTTCTTTGTGGTAAGACACAAGGACCTCCAGAGGATAGGATCTGGGAAATATTTGGTGGCCTTAATGCTGGTACTTGGAATAAAGAACAACTGCCAGCCTGCTGCACTCCATTAGCCTCCGCTCATCAAGTTATGGATGTGCGCCACCAATATTTCCATTTTTATGAGCTGCTATTTTTATCACAGAGTGCCCTAAATCAGGGGCTGGCTCTTGGGTCGCACATAATTTGTGGCACACTTCTACTTTTCCCTTTATGAAGTGACTGACAGATGACTTTTGTAGTTTGCACAGTGCTTTGCCTAAAGAAGTGTCTTTTCACCTGTGTGCATAAGTTTTGCTTCTAGCCCTGCCTCTCCCCCTTTTAAATATCCTGTTTTCCTAGCAAAATTTAATTTCCCCCTGTAGTCTATTCAGTCTGGTGGGGCCTCATAATCACAATTTATTCAACCTCAGATTCCATAGTGATTTGGGACTTCGAGAAAAAATACTCAACGAGTGTCTGAGTTGACCCCTTGGTGGGCATTTATGCTGTTAGAGAGTGCTTAACATGTCTGCTAAAGAGGGAAACAGTGATGTAGGGAGCTCGTGGGTCCTCGGGCGAAGGAAACTGCTGAAAACGCGTGCTTTCCTTTCTTTCTGGTCGATACTTGGGCAACACTGAAGCATTGGGCGCAGCTTAGCTTCCTTCTGTTCTGATGAAAGCAATAAATAAAGCTAGAAAGTTGTACTTGCAGGTGAACAAGAATTTAAGGAAAGCATATTGGGACTTTAATATTTTGAAAGGACAATTGATGTTAGAACTTGCTCCTGGCTCACTGTCCCCGCAGCTGTCATATCTCCCGGAGGTCTTGATGAGCTGACGCCAGAAACTCAGTCTGGGGAGAGCAGCTGGGCACAGCAAAGGGTGAAAGGCACAGAGAGGGGGCCACCCTGGTACCTTTGGGCAGCAGAGAGCCTGGAATTACACTGGCTATGGGGCAGAGAGGCCACCAGACTATGGTCTCCCGTGCAGGCTCCTGGCCGTCCCCCAGACCCTGTTCCCCTTTCCCTCCTCAGGGCCCTGACACAGGCTGGCTTGCATGGTGACCCCTGGCCTTTGCCCCCAGGTCTGGGTCTTAGATGCTGTCCTCTTCCTCTGTATTCAGCCTGCTCATCCTCCACACAGCAGCACAAACGCTATGATGTTCCGCATTAGCTTCTTTCTTCAGGCTAATTTGAGTTTGGAAATAATGGCACAATTAATAGAACAAAACCCTTTAGGACAATGAGTCCTATTGACATCAAAGCCCAGACAATTGTTTGAAGGTCCTGAGCACCTCACTAGTTCATGCAGTCAACACAAAACACCTTGGACCCTGGGGGCACTGTCACCCTCATTTCGTGAAGGATAAAATGGGGTCCAGGATGGTCCAGGCCTGTTCCACAGTGCCACACACCCTGCCTCCCATGGGGCCTCCTTTGCCACCTGCTCTATAGTGCCTGTGCAAACCTGAAAGCCACCCTGAGCTTCAGTTACACCTGATAAATCTACACAATGTCATGCTTAGGAGCCATGCTGAATGGCAGGAAGAGGCGGCCCAGTTGAATTCTACCTTGTTTGCTGGGAAATTTGGCTTAAAAGTTGTTTTTCATTAAAATTTATAAAACACAGAATTGTGCTTATCACATCAACCTGAGTTGAGACAGAATGATTCTACCATCTTCAGTAAGTGTGACATTGTTGGGATTTATTGGGACCACAATTGATCACATGACATGCTCAGATAGTTATGGACACAAACCAAAGCCACATGGACAACAGGACAAGCTTATACCTGCTTAGGAAGGTACAAGGGAAACATGGGCAGAGAGAACACGCTGGCTTGGAACATGAGGTAAAGGATGGCACGTGATTCTCCCATGGCCAGACGGATAAGGTGGGCATGTGGTGGGGCAGAATGCTGTCCCACTCTCACACTGCTCTGGGACTTTGTGGTGCACCCTAGCAGCTCTAGTCCACAACTGCTATTCGCTCTGGTGTGCGGCAGAAGGGGGAGAAGGCACTGGGGCCAGGGGCTGCATGCCTCCAGCTTGGCATCCCACCTGCTCTGAGCAACTGCCTAACTGAGACTAACGACCACAGAAGCTTCCGAAATAATTTTCTGTTGATCTGAGGTAAATTCTCTACAGGAGAGCAGTGCATCCAATCACAGACTGTCTGTCTGCATCCTGGCCCTCATAAATCAGAGTTTAGAGAGGGAGAGGGGAAGATACTGAAATTTACAATGAAGGCACAGTAGGAAATTTACTTGGGTGGGTGGGTATGTGGCTGGCCCTGTTCAGTGCTTCCTTTTCATTCTGGCCTCAAATTGGAAGAACAGGGGTGTGCACTGTGGGTGTGGGCGATAAAGCATTGTATCTGTCAGGGTTCCCCACCACATAGTATACAGGGCTTAGCTGTGAGATTTTGTGGCTAGGCCACTTGAAGCAGCAACCACAACTGCACAGGACATCCAGGGAAGGAGGCATGCCCACGAGCACTCAGTGAAACTGGCTCTGAGAGCTAGGTTCGCCTGCAAGTGTAGTTTTTCTTTTGTTTTACTTAATGAAATACTTTCAGCTCAGAGCAGGCCTGCATGGGGCTGCCAGCATGGCCCATGGGAGAGCCACATCCATTTGGGGGTACCAGAGCATCTAGTGCCAAGAGAGCTTCCCAGAGGGTCAACCTCACAGGGAGGTGATGGGTGACATCAGGCTAGGACAAAGCCACCCTAAGTGACTCTGTAGGACCTTGTCTTCTACAGCACTTCTCAAACTGGGATGCTGGTTCCACTGCAGCTTCCAGGGCACAGGTGTGCTGTACAGTTGGGGCAGGAGTGGAGGGAAGTGGAGGGTGGGCACAGTGAGGAAGGGGACAGCATGGGAAGGGCAGAGCCGGTGGTAGCATCGCCACCTGCCGCTCAGGCAGCAGCTGGAGACAGGCCTGAAAAATCCAACTGGGAAAAGCTCAAGTTCCAAAGGTCAAATTCCACAATAAGCAGAAGATGGTTGCTTGTAACTATATGTATTTGCTTAAATAAAACGCAAAAATGAGTTCATTAAGCCCCATTAGCTGGTGAGAACAGACGATCATAAACTGGAAGTATTGGCAACGCCACTTAGCCGAGATCCTGCCTCTGGCTTTCCCCTAAAGCTATAAAACGAGATTGATGGCAGTGTGTTTAGAAGGCGCACGGCTAAACCAGCCCGTGTGTCTGAAACAAGGAAACTCCTGCAGGATAGGCTATCTTGAGCTGGGCTTCTAGAACATGGCAGATTGCTTGGAACCAGCCTGGACAGACCAAAGTCACTGGCGTCTCTCGAGGCAGCCCCATTTCTGCTCTCAGAGGCCAACATGGCTCCTATGCAGACCATGGAAGGGCCCGTTAGGGTCTGCACTAAAGCCTTCTCCTCCTGTGGTGCTTCCTGCTGCTCCTGCCCTCTCCCAACTTCCGCCCGTTTGTTCTTGTCTTTGAGAGATGGGAAGCAATACTTGCCATCCTGTACAGAGCAGGTTTCAGCACAGCAAACGATCAGCTTGGGGGTGACAGTTTTCCAGTCCTGGAATCAGGATGCTGTTTGATGTATTTCATTAGTCCTGGAAGTAGGATGCTGTTTTGGATATTTCAGACTATGACCTCCTGAAGGCAGACCCAGATGGACATGTTTACCTTATTTCAAGTTAAGGTTCAGGGGAAAACAGCTCCAAAGGCCCCATGAGTGTGATGTGAGCACTGGGCTCGGTAGGAGCCTCTGGGGGATCTGGCAGATCACAGGCATTTATGGTGAGCAGCGATGGGCTGGTGCCAGATGTGCGGCTGGATGGGGCAGAAAGGAGGAGTTCCTGCAGGCAGGCGGCTCCCAGGCTGAGCCTGGGGTACCTGGGACACTGCAGGAAGCTGAGGCAACAGACAAGTCCCTACTGCGTAAGTTACCTGCCTGTGGAGCTTGGTTTCAAGATGGCACCGTCCTCCCTGCCTTTGGGCATTTCCTATCTGTCCCAGCACAGCAGAGTGTTCAGCAATTTCTGTGATAAGCAGACAAGTGCCCCAGAAAAGCCATCACAGAAGAGGGACAGAGGTGGCAGGTCCAATGTGATTGCTTGATGTGAGCAACTGGATGGCTGGGGCACACAGCTTTTCCTTTCACTTACTGAAAGCCACTATTTAGTGGTTAGCATATAAAATGGAAGTTACTAGATGCTGCAATGAGCTAATGAGCAGTACCGTTAGCTGTATATTTGGCTTGGAACTTCGGGAAATCAACTGAGAGCTGCTGATGGGGGAAGAGAGGGATCTCTGGATAGGACAGGAGCACCGCTAGTACTCTGCTCCAGTACATGACTGTAGAGGAGGACAGAACACAGATGCAGACACCAGGTCCAAATACCAGATGGGCTACCTGCAGCTGTAGGACAAGTCGAGTGGGGAATAGAAAGCAGCAATCTGAAGTGCTGGTGTCCCCTGCAGGGGAGGCCAGGGACAGCATTTGCTGTACTCTCCAGCACCTTGGTAGGAGGTAGTAGGGGTGCCATAGTACGGCAGCTGGGTCACAGGTATTGGCCACCATTCTTGTCTCCAGGCAACACATTCCCTGCGCAGGTTCTGGTCACCAGGAGAGCCGGAGTTCGCATTAGGAACTGTGAGGCACTCCAGGAGTTGGGCAGGCTCATGGGAGTCTGAAAGCATGGTGGCTGTGTGACCAGCTCTTGATGGACTTACTCCTTGATGTACTCAAACTAGGGCCTCTGAAACTGCCAACCTGGCTGTGAAATCTTTAGGGACAAGCCCCTGATGGGACATGACACACCACTGGGGAAGTCTTTGCTGAATGCTGGCATCTGTGCCCAGTACATGCATGGTCAGACTGCCATAGTTGACGAAGCTTATGTGAAACTGTAATGAATGGTTTATAAAAGCCTCTGGGCCAGGCAGCAGGCCAGCCCTGCAATACAGTGTGCCTCAATTAACCCAATTGTGGAGGGTTAATTGAGGCATACTGTGTTCCAATGCCCACAGCTGGAATGAGGGTCTACAGGGGGCCTGTAGGGTGGTTCATGGTGCTTGAAGCAGGGAATGAGGGCCTTGGGGGCTATCTGTACCTTCCCATGGAAGGAACCCCTCCAACTTCATCCAGGTCAAAGTTGTATTGGTTTTACCAAATCAGAAGCACCCCTCTGAAGTTTAAACTTTAACCTGAATGTTTTTCAGCAACCTCTTCTATAAAACAAAACCATCAAAAGTCCTGCAAAAAGTGAGCTGTTTCCTTGAAGGGGCTTCGTGTGGCGGGGGAGTCCCGATGGAAAGGGTAACCACATGCAGCCCACCATCAAGCCCCACTCAGGACCTTCTGGGGCTGGCTCTCCATTTGCCTCTACTTTCTTCTGTGTTTTTCACCAGAGGCACAATGGGGAGGAGAAGAATAAGAGATGTAGATTCAAGAGGTGAGGCCACCATCCTGGCCTCGCTGAATGTGTCGCTGTGTGGAGGACCGGGAGGTTGGTGTGTGAGCACAGGGGCTGGCCTCTGTCCTACTGGCTGCATCTGAAAACATGCCTGCCCACCACAGCCTTTCATTGCATACTCACAGAATATGGAAAGGCCACACGCTCTCTCTGAGCTTCAGTTTTCCCCAGACTTTGAGGGTGCTTCCCAGACAAAGAAATGACCCCATCTCTGAATAGTCCCAGTCCTGGGGCTGTGACTGCTGCATGGCTAGGCAGACGTTACCCAGATCCCAGGAAGTCTGGGACATGGGCCCACCCTCTGTGGTTTGGCTAGACACTACAGCTATCTCTTTGTGGTATGGCAAACTCATGATTTGGTTTTGGATGGCAGGCTGCTCCCCTGTGATGATGGGAGGCAGACGCTCACCTGTAATGATGCCATTCTTCTCCAGAGGCTCCTGCCAGCTGACCTTGAGTGATGTGTCCAGGATCTCTGTGAAGCTCAGGTGGCCCACAGCTCCCGGTTCTGCCAATTAAAAGTAGAGGCACCTGTTAGCCCCAGAGTCTTATTCTCTTTTGATTGGATTTATGTGGTAGGTTCTGACTATGGAGAGGAAGTGGTAAGCCAGGGCCACAAGAAACCTGCAGGAAACATTGGGAAAATGCAAGTGGGACAGTGGAACTGGTATTGAAAGCCTCCTAGATGCCACCATGTGAATTGACACTGGAGGTGGTGCTGGTCTTCAGACCTCGCTGCACCGTGCATGAGCTCATCACTAAAGGTCCCAAAGTCTTCACTCTCTCTTCTATGAAGTAGGGAGAGTAAACATGACTTTTCAAGGTGACTGAGAGAATAAAATAATAAAACATGGGGCATTGGTATGCCCTTGACACTATGAGGGAACTTTCAGCAGCAGCTTCTTATAGTCAGAGGAAACAGTCATTTCTAAGATGAGATGATTGCCACCAAGAGAAGAGCCCAAAACAAGAGTTAGTGACTTAAGCTTATGAACATTTGGCTGTAAAACAGATAGATGATGGAGGAACCTAGCACAGAAAGACTGGGAATGAGACACCTACAGGCTGGCAACACCGTTCTCCTCAGTTTAGAGCCCTTTCACGTTTCTGCCCCATCCTTACGTATTGGTCTCCACTGCATGTTGGTTGCATGATGGTCCAGAGGGAGAAGTGGGGCTGGGGGTAGACATGCTCTGAGCAAGGGGCCTTGCAGCAGCAGTGGCAGCAACTATGCAGGGCCTGGGGTACAGTGGAAAAGGTGATGCTTAGGAGGGAGCTGGAGGGGTGATGCCCACTGTGCACCATGCTGGGTGCTGGGTGGATCTCACAGGCATCCTCTGGTCTGGAGTTTCCTGATCAATTGCTGCTGGTTTGCTCAGGTCTGCTTGCTTCAGAGCCTAAAGCCTCACAGACAATGAATGCTCCCCATGTCTACCCCTTTCCATTCCCAATATGGGAGAAATATAAGGGAACAAGTCCTATCAAAGGCAACAGAGGAAGGAAATAAGATGCCTGGCAAGGAGACAAGAGCAAGATTGGTGCATGCGTATCTTGGTGGGGAACCTGCCCTGGCCACGCACAGAATACCCAGCTCTCTCTTGAGCCTATTAGGTGAGCCACACCAAGATTTTTACTCATAAAAACGCATTTAAAAAATCTTAAAGTCAAGGGAGAGCATGAAGTCAAGGGAGCTGCCTATCTTGCAGAACAGGGGTCTGTGGATTCCTGCAGCGAGGCTTTGCTGCACCGCAGGCCTGGCCCTGGCTCCTGCTGGCCTTGTCTGCACAGGAGAAGGATTTTTAGGTGAATTTAATACTGCATTCCCAAGTGGTACTTAGACAATACTTTCTAATACAGCTTGTGAATTTTTTAAAAAATGGTAACAGTTTTGAAAACCACACTCACCTGAGTGAAACCTGCAAGATGTTAGGAAGAACTCAAACACTGACAAATACCACTTTCCTCACATGGCAGACAAGAAAATAGAAGGGCTGTCAGGACCATGTCATCCTCCCCCAGCCTGAGCATGCAGAAAGACATTCTGATGGGTCTGAACTGACGTGTTCTTTTTCGATAGATGGTATAGCAAAAGACGCTTTTTGTTCCTTTTTATGTTTTCCGTGTTTCTGCTTCCTGGATTCATGCCCAAATGTGCTGCCCTCTACTCTGCTGGAACCAGCTAACAAATTCATAATCTGTTCCTCTTTTCTCCCCCCTCCCAAACGTTTTTGTATCCCATTGGAACTTTGGAGAGTAGACCTGGTGCAGGAGACAACAGCCAACTTTGTCGACACACAAGAGATGTCTCTCGAGGACCCAAGCTCAGATTTCTCTTTCCTGGCTGAACCTCAGCACTGCCTTCAATTTCATATTTACAAGAACACTCTGTCTCTCCAAATAGGATAAGCAGGCTAAACCACAAGAACAGGAAGTCTGTTCAGTTAGCAAATTCTAAAAGGGTGATAGTGATAGTGTCTTTGCTTGCTGAAAAGCAGATGCCATGGCAAAATATACATGTTTTAGGCGCTCACTGAACATGTACCAAGACAGACCACATCCTGTGCCCAAATCCTAAAATTTAATAGAATTGAAATTAGAGAAAATGTGTTCTCCCATAATGGAGTCAGACTGGAAATCAATAATGGAAAGACACTAGGAAAATCTCCAAACACATGGACATTAGTTATCATTCTTCTAAACAATCCATGGGTCAAAGAGGAAGTCTTATAGGAAAAAAGAACACATACAACCAAATGAAGGTAAAAATATGGCACATCAAAATATGAGTGATGTAGCTAAAACAGCATTAAAACTGAAATTTGTAGCTCTGAATAGTTATGCTAGGAATGAGGAAAAGGCTCAAAATAATAATCTAAGTGTTCCTTTCAAGAAGTTAGAAAAAGCAGAGAAAAATCCAAAACAAGCAGAGGGAAGGAGACTATAAAGAGCTGAAACAAATAATATTAAAATATGAAATAATAGAGATAATCAATGAATCAAGAAGCTCGTTCTTTTTAAAAATTCAGCAGCATTGATGAACCTCTGAAAAAAAATGACAAAGTTAAAAAAAAAAGAAGATACATGTCTCCAGTGTCAGGAATAAAATGGAGATCTGTACAGTGCCTATCCCACTGAAAAGATAAGAAAGAAACTTGACAAATAATTTTATAATCATAAATCCAAACTCTTCAAAGGTCAATTCCTAAAGAAGAACAAACCACTAAAACTCAACCAAACTGGGCATGGTGGCATAAGCTTGTAAATCCAGCACTTGCTAGGCTCAGGCAGGAGGATTGCTACAAGTTCCAGGAAAGCCTGAGCTATACAGTGAGTTTAGATGCTAGTCTGGACTATATAGAAAGACCTTGTGTCAAAACAAAAGGAAAAACAAACAAAAACTCAACCAAGATGAAATGGACAACCTGAAAAATTCCATAACCATCAAACAGATTGAATTTATAATTTAAAACATCCTAAGGAAGAAATCCCCAGATCCAGAGGGTTTCACTCTAAAATTATACCCAATATTTAAAGAAAAATTGACACCAATTTGATACATCCCTTCCAAAATGGAGAAAATTTTTTTTATGAGATCAGTATCACCTTGATACTAAAGCCAGATAGAGCACAGGGAAAAAATAGGAGACCACAGACCAATATCTCTCATGAACCAGGATGCCAAAATCCTCCATAAAATATCCACCAAGTTAATCCAGCAGCATATAAAAAGAATTACACACCATGACCAAGTGGGATTTGTTCCAAGAGCACAAGACTGTTTCAACATTTCAAAATCAATCAATGTAATCCAACATATCAACAAGGTAAGATGAAAAACCACATGATCACATCAACGTATACAGTAAAAGCAAGTGAAGAAATCCAACTTGTATTCATGACAGAAACTCAACAAATTGAGGGTGGAACAGTGGGGATTGACCCCAGCTTGATAAAGAACATCTGCAAAAATTATCCTACTTAGGGGTGAAAGGCTAATGCTTTCCCTTTGAGATGGAGAACAGGAAAGAATGGCTGCTTTCAATATAGTAGGAGTTCTAGCCAGTGCCAACAAGGCAAGAAGAAAGACAAAAGGTGTGTAGATTAGGGTGAAAAAGAGCACAGAAGGGTGGCTACATAAGAGGAATCCTGGGGACCTCTGTGGTGTGGGGAGCATGGAGGGCTTTGGATTTGGTGGTTGGGACATACACCTCCACGTGCTACACACTGTGGAGAACTCGGTGTGCATGTGCAGAGGAGGATGAGCAAAACTGGACAAATTCAAATTAGGCCCCTGACCAGTGCCAATGTTGGAACACTGTCTGTGATGCTAGACTATAGTTTTAGAATGAAAGCATTGGTAAGAGCCAGACAAATATATATGGGCATCTCAGTGCTGATTCTTACAGTTCCATGGGAATCTGTAACTGTCAATAAAAAAACTGAGTTCAATATATCATAGAAGACAGACTAAAGTTAGATATAAGAAGAACTTCTAGGATCAACTAACAGCAACAATAGGGCTGTTTTTGTTTTGTTTTATTTTTTTAGCTTTGAAAGAGGGGTCAGCATCTCAAAAGATCCAAATCCATTCTACTTTTCCTGACACAGACCTGTGGGGGCAGCAGGTAGGCAGTGTGCAAATCATGTTACTAAGGGGTAGGAGGGCATGAGCAGTCAGGGGTCAAGGCAACAGTTTACATGGAAAGCAAATAAGGAGCTCACTGGGCAACTCCATGGGGCAGCTTACTTCACCCTGGATGAGACAGATGTGCCCAGATTGGAAGGCCAGAGAGAAGATGCCCATGACCAGGTCATTAGAAGGAAGAGTAGATAGGACCATGAAAGGGGCTGAGCAGAGAGGAAGAGGAACAGAACACAGGGTGGAACAGCAGGGAGTGAGGCGGTGTGTTCTGGGAGGCTTGGACTTCTGTGGTGCACATGCTAGGCAAGTAGAGAGGGGCACGGGGAGCTGAGCCAGACCATGACCCAGACCAGCAGACCTGGGGGGAGCTGGTGAGAGATGAGGGCAGCCCGGTGGAACTTAAAAATCATAAACATCTTTGGCTTTATCTCTCCTCTTAAAGGGAAGTACATACTGTGGTAGACATGAAAAAATACTGAAAAATACTAAGAAAATACAAAAAAAAATCTATCAATGTATCACAGAAACAGCAACTCTCAGAATTACATATAAATGTATGCTGATTAAATTTAGATCTCATATGGCTTTGTAGACTTTTTAAACTTAATTTTAAATCACAACCATTAATCCCCTAATTATTGATCTTTAAAGTTTCATTTTAAAAATAGTTGTAAAATATTCATTATACTGTCACTCTGGTTTTTTTTCCCAGTCCTTCCCATTTGAATCATTTGAATGCTTTCATTTAAAAAAAAAAAAATCACAACTGTGACAAACCTTTTTGTATATCATCTCGCAATGTGGCTGATTATTTTCTAGGGAAGGTACCACTAGCCACTGTTTTCCTGTCACATCAGTGGGCCTGAGAATGAAGAAACTGCAGTTTCCTACAGACCAGATGGAGATGACGCAAAGCCAAGGGCAGGGGCTCAGAGATGCAGGGCTGAGACATCCCCAGTAGGGTCAGAAGGAGGGGTGGGGGCTGCAGTGGTGAGCAAGGAAGGAGGTAAGAGGACTGGAAGTCGACATCTGGGCTTGGCAAGACCGCAGGAGCAGCCCTCCACCTCTGTCCCCAGAGCTGCCTCCTCTGGCCTGGCTCTTTCTGTCTCTCAGGTGCCACTATCCCTCAGGTGTGACTGGTGCCTGGGATGACCAGGGTGGGGTGGGGGTGGTGAGCCAATGGTAAGTACTCTGAGTCCCTGGCTTCCTCACATGGCTTCTGGGCTGGCTGGTGCTGGATGTGGCAGGACCACGTGCTCCACACCTGACTCAAGGCGCAGGAACTTGGAGGGGCCAGGGAGAGCAGTACTCACTGTCCTCGTGAGTCCACACAAGCTGTGGGGTGCTTGGGGGCCCATCGCCTGGCGTGGTGAAGCACAGGACAGAGGTGAAGTAAGCAGTGAACTTCTTCAGGTTCGTGATGTACCCGTGGTGGATTCCATGGAAATCTGGGGCAATGGTGACCACAGTGACTGCCTCAGGGACATCTGCTGGCCAGGCTAGAAGCTGAGGAGAGATGAGTGAAGAGAGATCCTTTAAAAGTGTCCTTCCTCACACAAGCCTCAATTACAATTTTAAAGGAAGCATAGTCACAATTAAACCCATAAATTCTATACTGTGTACTTGAAAAAAGTCACTTTTAAAGATATTTCACAGATGATTATATACAAATGCAAGTGTATGTATACATGCATATATATTTTAAACATGTACATATAAACAAATTAATGACTTTGATCCTTTTGGGAGTAAAGGACTCTTCTGCAAACCTTCACAGACCTCTCTCCATGTCCGCTTGTACTGATCATCTGTTTCTTAACCATGGGGACAGTGACCACACTGTCTGTTAATTCAGTCAAATCAATCATTTATAATTCATATTGCATTAGTTTCCTGAGAAGGAATTCAGGACACTGGTTACAATTTTAAAGAAAAATTATAGATGCATATTCCAAGGAAGGCTGCTTCATGTTTTGGCAACATTAGGAGCCCGTGTGAGTTTTCATTTCTTTGACACCAAACATCTCTCAGACCAATTAGCTCTGAAGGCTCCCTGCTGCAGGCCCCACCTCGTGTCCACAGATCACACTGACCGCCCAGCCCTCCCAGCCCTCAAATGAGCATGGCTGTCTCTCCAGTCAGACCTGGCAGGAGAGTCAAGAGGGCAGAAGCATCTGGGCTGATCAGTGTGATTTGCTTTCAAAACAGCTTCTGATTTTGGATACTTCTGAGGGAAAAAGAAAGGCAGGGACAGTTTTTAGCTCTGTCTGCCTTTTTAGGAGACAAATAAGTGTTTTAGGAAGATGAACCCAAATGAGAAAATAAAAGGAACCATGTGTCTGGGAAATGATTCACTCTGAAGCTGAAATCACTCACTTCGAACAGAGAGGATGGAATTCCTTCTGCACAAAGGTCTCCCTGAGTGCCCCAGCCCGGAGGGAGTAGTATCAGTATGTTGTGCATCCACCGAGGGTGGCTCTCAGGCCAACCAGGGGAAGGGGACTGCAGTGAAAGCTACGCCATACCTTTCAAATTGCACCTGATCTCATCTATGAAACAGATTCGGGGGAAGGTAGGTAGTAGGAATTTGTGTTTCTAATTTGGCTTTGGCAGAAACTCTGAACCAACTGGTCTCTTCTTTAAACAGAATTCTCCCTAAAGCAGAGAAGGGGTGGAATGAACCTTCCTCCTGGATATAACCGCTTGCCCTCTGCTCGGAGCCTGCGCTACGTCCAGCAAGAAGTGGCTTGGACACATGCTGACTCCCATCACCCCACACAGCTCTCCCACTAGCCACTGAGAATGAACGGCCTTTCTCATAAGGAGCTTCTCTCTTATGCATGCATGACCCATTGTCTTGATAACTGATCCTTTGAGTTTCTGAACCAGGAGAGCTGATGGTAGGACCTTGGATAAATGGTGACCCTACTAAGGTCGAAACACTCTGCATTTGGTGTCTGGAGTTCCTGATGGAATGGGAAGGACAGCTGCCCTGGCATGACCATAGGATGGCCACAAAGCAGGACAGCTACCCTGAGGCTCCAAGCCAGGCTGGTAGTTACCTTATATCCCTGGTTGATGCCATTGACGAACTGCTGCGGTGGTGGGTTCCACAGGAACTGGACAGTGGTGGAGTTCACGGCTTCTGCTTGTACATTCTGTGGGGGCGCGGTGGGCACTGTTCGAGGGGTTGTAGAAGACAGCAAAACAAATGGCAGGAGGCACCATGGGGAGGAGAGATGAAAGAGAAAGCCTCAGCTGCAACTCATGATTCACAGGCAATTACAGTACTGAGAACAGGGGAGCTTGATGAATGTTTTTGGAAGCTAATAGTGACATTACAAAGAAAGAGAATTGGGCTCTTTCTCATTCTCTGTTGCAGAATTCCTTAAGGCACAGGCAGAAAACTGGACTAGACCATCTTCTCATTCCACAGATGAGACTTTACCATGGATGCAAGATGAGGAGCAAACAAAACCTTTCTCTAATTCCTTTTTCTACTATCCACTAGTTGAGATCATGACCAAGTTTCATCTAAAAATCACCCATGACCAACACATACTCCCTGCCATTATGCACAACTATTTCAAGCTAAATTATTCTGTATTGTAAAGAAACAAACACAACAAAGCTGTCACCTCCTTCCTGTATGTATTGCTGTTTATGTATCTGGAAGATAAACTTCTCTTTGTCAACAAGGGCAACTATTTTTGTACTTTTCCTCTCTCTCTTTTATTGAACAGCTATAGAATCCAGTGATACACCTGTCTTCAAGGAACATATATCCTAGGGAAGATGACACCACAAAGGCAACCAGGGCAGCAAAGGCACAGGGCAGAAGGGCTGTCTCTGCTGGGAGGGGGAAAGCCTTCATGTAGGATGTGTTGGAAGAAGGGCTCAACTTCGGAGGGTACCAAGTCTGAGAACCGCACTCTTGGCTGGGCATAGTGAGGAAATCAAATCATGGTATCAGAAAGGAGCCTGGTGAGAGAAGGAAATGATCCGTATGGCTGGTTGGGGGTGTGGGGGAAAGGGGGTTAAAGGGGATGATGAGTCTTCTTCGGTATTAACATACAATGGCCAGTGTTGTACATGGTGGACAATGAGGGATTGAAATTTTCTGGAAAAGGCAATGATGTGACAGGACTAGCTTTCAAGGAGGATGACCTGGTGATCAACAAATAGCAGACTAGGCTGGATCTTTGGACTTTGGAGGGCTGAAGGGAACCAGTCCTGGTTCTTTTGGTGCTCATTTCAAAAGTTAAACATGGAAGCCCAAAGGATCCTTCAGATCCAGGCAGAGAAGGAAAGATGAAAGCCTGCCACCACATGGCTAGAATGTGGTCCTGCTTAAAAGTCCATTTCCCACAGCTTTCTTCTTCATAGCCCTATCTCATCAAACCAAGATGAAAAACCTGAAAATTTATCATGCTCTCCTGTCTTCTCTTTCAAGTCATGCTCTCTTTCCATTTGCTGTTGGCCATGGCCTTGGAATGCCTTAGGCCGGTGTTGGTGAACCTCTCAGAGTTTTCAGTGATACAAACAACCCCCTGTAGCACACATGCTATAGGTTCACGATTTCCCTAGGTCCTCCCACCACAAGTCACCAAGAAACCCTTGACACCTCTTTTTTAGCACCCGCATAAAATGTGTGTTAAAAGTTGCCACAGGGATAGCTGTGCCTGGGATCTAGAAAGTTGGACAGAACGTCCTGTCTACCAAAAACAAGAAAAAGCTGAAAAACAACAAAATCATAAATTTGTAAGAGTCAACAGAGAGCTGAAGTTGAATGAAAGCTGTAGACGTTGGCGGGGGGGAGAGAGACAGACAGACAGACAGATAGACAGACAGACAGACAGAGACAGACAGACAAAGACAGAAAGAGAGAGAGACAGAGAGCCAGAGCCAGAGTCAGAGAGTTGCTTCCATGTAAGTGGGTAAGGACTATTCAAGTGACATCCTTAACCTGCTGATTGTGGTCACATAATAGGAGAGTTTTGGGGAGCTGTAGACTCACAAAACAGATACTTTACACACAGACGAACAAAGAAAGTGAAGAGCATTTCATTGAAGAATTTCATCAATCATTTGAAGAATAATTAAACCAATTTAAAGCATTACTGATACCAAATATTAGGAAAAAAATTAAAAATCATAGGCCAATGTTCCTTGTCAAAAAATTATAACAAAGTGTTAGAAAATAAGATTTCACAACATGTAAAAATCATAATCTATCCTGGTCAAGTTGGATTTATCTTATAAATGCAAAGCTGTTGAATATTCAAATATCAATCAAGGTAAAACATATCAATAGAATACAGTAAAACAAACATGATTATATGAGCAGGTTTAGAAAAGGCATTTGATAAATTTTAACATCTAGTTATTAAAATGAAACAAAAACCTTTATATTAGCTGCAGGACTGTAATCCCAGAACTCAGAGTCTGAGCCAGGAGGATTGCCAGGAGTTTCAGGCCAGCATGGGATATACAGTGAGTTGAAGTCCAGGCTGAACTATGTAGTGAAAACAAAAAAAACCAAAAACTCTAAGCAAAATAGGAGTTGAAAGGAATTTTATAAACTTGGTAAAGTCCATCTATGAATCAGCTGCCTCTAACATCCTATTTAAGACAATAGGCTGAACATGTTCTCCCTAAGATCAAAGATAAGACTAAGATGTTTTTCTCACTATTTTCTTTCTGGAAGTACAAATTTGTGTAGTAATGCAAGAAAAAGAAATAAAAGACCCACATTCTGGGGCATGGGGAAGCCGCTGCCCACTCACAGGCAGTATTATTATCTCAGTAGAAAATATTCTCTACGGCTTTCACAGAGAGCAAATTGGTCAAGCAATGGCCGTGACTCATCCACATGGCTGACACTGACAAAGGATCTGCAAACTGTGGTACAGGGTTACAGGATAAATCCTGAGGATACTTGACTGACCTTATCAGATACAAAAGTTACATTTCTTGTATACAGGTCTTGCTTTATCTTGGTCTTAACCATCCAGCAGAAAAGTATAAAAACGAGGTATATAAAGTACAGCCATATTAATATGCTGAGCTGTGAAAAGCTCAAGTCAACAATTTCTGTGGATAACCCACTACTATTGTGGACTGCTGGACTATGTTGGACTGTTTTGCTGAATTCATGCACTTATAGTATTTAGATGCCAAAGGAAAACCCATTTATGACAGGACTAAACAAAAAAAGGTGATACAAAGGAAGGACCATTTTGTATCTATATAGTGAGGTTAAGCTTAATAGCCTAAGTAGTTTGATAATAACAATAAGCTTGTCTT